GTAACAAAGTCTTAAATTTCCATCACTTTTCAACTTCTCTGTAGTTTTCTGTCGAAAACACTCAGAGTGCCAGTCAATATATAAAAAAAAAATTGTCCTTTAAAATATACATCTTGGTTGTTTTTAATTTGTTTTGTTTTTTTTGTTTTTTTACCTGCTCTACAATAAACTGCAGACAATGCATTTATATATAAAAAAAAAAAGGAAATTTGTCCGCTGTAGAGAAAAACAAAAACCATTTGTAGATTGATAACAGTCTTAAAGGTTTGTTAAAACAAACTACTATAAAAGCCAGCATAAAATATTTCATTATTATTGATATCTAACAAAGTTTATTGAATGGCTTTGTTGAGTTGGCTTTTCAATAAAACACTTTTTTTTTTTTTTTTACAATCAAATGAAAAGCTAAAACTATTGCTGATTTAAAAAGATTAAAAATCAGTACATTTCATTTCCAAGTTTAAAGGATGCATGTTTCTCTGCATCTTTTTGAAACGCTTCCCATCTGTGAAAATTTCAACCTTATGATTAATAAACGTGCGTCTACATCAGTAATGTTTTGCCATTTTTGCATTGAGGTTGAGAGCTGCAAAAAAAAGAAAAAAATTCCTGGGGCCACAAATATCCACAAGGCCACACTAGTTTAAACAGTTGGAGAAAACGCCAGTCATTCGAACTATTTATTTTTTTATTAAAGTGACTTTCAACCATTTGAAAGGTATAATGCTGGAATTGAGTACCTTAAATACTTTGTATTTGTTGGTGAACAGGATCTAGACCGTTTGTATTTTTAAGGAAAATGTGTTTCTGCACACATGCAGACATCGGCTCAGGCATATCTAAAACTGCTGGACCTAACGCTGCTGTGTGAGTTCTACCAGGTATTATCCAAAGCTGACATCAGTCGTTATGTAAAGACTTATGAAAGCTAGCCTCATGGTAGAGGGTCCAGGTGAGCTGTTCAGTCCTTGTCACATCAGTTTTCTGTAATAGAGTTTTTGTTTAAACGACTTCCTTGTAGTTTGGTCATTTAGAGTAAATGTTAATATAAAGTTTTTATTTTTGGTTGCTTCTATCTGATTCTGGAAAGGCTCTAGCTCCACAAAAGGCTGGTGTCTGTCTGTGTGTGGGCTGTGCAGTGTACCTTGCACTGTTGCATTGGGACATAATCTCAGCTCCATTTTTCTCTTTCCTCACTCTCCTGGCTGCTGGGAACAGAAGGCGTTATCAAGCCTAAGTAGTGTTTGAGCTATTAAAAGGTGACCTCCTTTTTCTGGGTCATTACTAAAAAAGAATGGATTGATTCTAGTTATGAATATCCAAAATTTCTTGACAGAGAGGGATGAGAATGGAGAGACATATTTCTTGCCTTGGGGAAGTTAGGAGGGGTTGAGATGAAATGGAGCAGTGGGAGGGGGGTTGGGTTTGTAAGGGTGGAGGGTTGGTTAGGGCATGGAAGTGGTTGTGGGTGGCGCAGTGTGGGGAAGAAACCGGGAAGACAGAGGCGCGTAGTGTGCTGTCTGGTCAAAGGGGGACATGATGGTTACGAGAGCACAGCGGAGGGAGATCTTGTGACGAGGGTCACGAGAAATAAATCAGACATTAAGTTGAGGAGTGATCTTGTTGCTGGTTTGCAGGAGGAGGAGGTAGCCAACGACATGCCCCGTTTGACTCATTTTTTTTCTCTTGTTTTTGTTTGCAAAACAAGCTGCTTGCTGCTCAGAGTACTAATAGTCATTAGTGTTTAGCCTTCACCGCAGCGCATTGATTGTTGAAGAAGGAAGAGGAGGAGGGGTCATTTGTTGCTATCAGAGGTATTCAAAGGCCCAACTTATTGAAAGGGATAAAGAATTTGATCCCGCCTGTTCATGGATCTGGCTATAACATGCCGCTAACCTCAGAAAGCCCTCGCCACCACCCTCTTCCTCCTCTAAACTTCTCACTGGAGATCAGGCACCTCGTTTCTCTGCGGTGCACCGAAAGATGAAGAGCACAGAGCGAGCCTGAGGGTCTCCATTATATTTGCTGTCTGCAACGATGGAGAGGAGAGAGTAGGGGCGGATGGGAGGGGTTTAAAAAAAGAAGCAAAAAAAAAAAGAAAAAATCAGGAACGAAAAAGCGAGGAAGACAGAGGAGGGGTTGCTATAGTAACAGAAATATGGCTGCTCTTCAAAAACCTTGAATGTAGGTGGTGGTGAGATGAGTGTGTGTATGTGTTTTTTTTATTTTATTTTATTTCCTAACGTTGTCTTCTCTTCCAAGCTTTGCAGATATTCTGGATGTGTTGGAACCTTTCTGATCTCAATAAGGCCTTAAATGCCATCAGTTTGACTCTTTATCAGCTATATTATTTAAATGACCTAAGGGTGGTTTTTTAATATATATTTTTTAAGCAGTATGCAGAGTATTGCTGGTTTTCAATCATTCTATTTTATTGTTTTTTTAAGCTAGCCACTCATGCTATGCATCCAGATATGGAATAATGTCTCTTTGGGAGAGAACATTAAAGAGATGCAACCTCTATGCTCACCTTTTTAGGTAGTGGTATCTCACTGTTGGATGAAGGAAATGGCCCTTGCTTTCCTAATGACCTTAATTCAGTTAGCTCAAGTTTTTCCACTCATGTCTTCTTCCTGGAAGTATTTTTTGTGATTTACTAAACTGTAGGACTACTTCCTGACGTCAGACAAGGGAGCTTTGACTTATCGTGATAATGACTAGTTTAATCGACTTGGTATTTAATAGACAAGACTTCATACCAGCTGCATTTGGGTCAAATTTTGTATTCATGTAAAGCAGCTGGACTTGAGATATAGGCCTATGGCATTGTCCTGGTTTTATAAAATGAATACAAATCCTACTTTTAAGTTATTGGAGTATCTATAAATGAATTTCCCTGATTTTAAAATATAATTGCAACAATTATTTTTCTGCTACTGGTGTTAATAGTGGCAACTCAAATAATGATACATGAGCCAAACTATGGAAAAATATGAATTTAAAGATGAGGATCCTATAATCTGAAGCTGAGGGCGGGGTTAGTGTCCCACCAGGATGATGCTGCCAGCAACATATCTCTTAAGTTTCTGAAGCATAGCTGTATCCTTTTCTTCAGTCAAGATTTGTTTTATTTGCTTCAAACAATGAAAAAGTAAACGATTAATAAAGATGAAGCATGAATTTTCTATACGCTATAATAATAATAAAACACACAATTTCCAAGCTAATTAAAAGAACACTAGTTCTGTTGTGAAAATTCTTGTGACTTATGACTAATGACGGTTCTAAGACTGGTATTATTTAGTTCTTTATATCTTTTTTGGCCTCTATTAACAGCCATTGTACAGGGTCTAAATACGTCTCAGGCCCCTACTCTGTTAACAACCTCAAAGACTTGGAGGCCATAACATACTAGAGATGTCCAAATAACAGTGGAAACTAGGACTGAAACAATTAAACAGATTAATTGATCATTGAAAATATAATCCTCAACTAATTCAGTAATCGATTAATCGCTAAAATTGCAAAAAGTCTTCTCTAAGGAACCTTTTGCTTTACGATTTTTAATGGAAAAAAATGGACAATTTAATCGATTTGCAAAAATAATAAATAGTTCCTGCTCTAGAGAAAGCATTATTTGCTGAAGAGCAGATCCTCCTTTCAATTATTAAGGATAGTAATCCAATTAGGTCCTGAATTAAATTTGAATATGTTTTTGCTTTTTTAATTTATTTGGTTTCACTTCTATATCAATTTGGTTTTTGTGAGATTCCTTACTCTGTCCAACCAACCATCAGTGTCTAACTTATGCAGTCTATGTGCGAGAGGCAGGGTACACCCTGGACAGGTCGCCAGTCTGTTGCAGGGCAACACAAAGACACAACTATGCACACACACGGTCACACCTAAGAACAATTTAGAGGTGCAAATGAACCTAACAGTCATGTTTTTGGACTGTGAGAGGAAGCTGGTGTACCTGGAAAGAACCAACGCATACACAGTGAGAATATGAAAACTCCATGCAGAGAGACACCAGGCTGGGAATTTAACCCAAAACCTTCCTGCTGCAAATTCTTTCTTGAATAAACATTTTGGATATTGCAATGACTTGGGATAAATTTTGCCACAACTGTTGTGTTTATATGGGATGTATTCATTGGCAAAGTTGATTCCAAAACTTAAGTTCTTCCTTCTGAAGCGTGATGTCAAGAGCAAAGATCTTCCTCAATCAATACCTCAAACATGTGCATGTGAATTTATTGCATTTTTTGTAAACAAAAAAAAAAGTAATATTTAAGTTGTTAATGAAGATGAGTTCATATATGAATGACTTAAGGCAACTTTACTGGAAATTATGATCCAAAAGCTTTTGCTAAACCAAGAATTTTTCAATCATTTTAAATTGTAATGTCTATTAAAATCTTTTAACTTGCAGAAAACTGTATAAAATAAGTAAAATGCATTCTGCAGTCTAGAGTTACTGTCTTAGAACAATATATATATATATATATATATATATATATATATATATATATATATATATATATATTTCGGACGTATCAGCTTTCATAATTGAAACCTTGTAGGTAGGACTTTAAAAAAAATGTAATTAAGGTAAATGTTTTTTAATGCAGATAAAATGACAATCATTTCATTTAAACTTGCAGAAATGCTGTTTGTTTTTATCTTCATCAGCAGAAAGAAGGAAGAAGTAACCAAGAGGAGGACTGATATGTCTGTTTCTCCATATATCTTAATCTGACCTCTTAAATCTATCTGTTAATAGGATGTTTAAAGTGCAAACTCGGTTCAATTTTAAACAATTTTATAATAAATTATTTATATCCCTGTTTGCCAAAACATAAGACAGGATAACACTTAGTATAATTGTTTATGACATCAATGCAAGTGTTTTATTAATAATTCATTTATGGTCTTGTTCTTATACCTAGCTGTTTGTGCCTATGGTGTAACCCTGCTTCTCTCTGTGCTGCCTTCAGGTACGGGAGAAAGCGGTAAAAGCACCTTTATCAAGCAGATGAGGATCATCCATGGAGCTGGCTACTCAGACGAAGACAAGAGGGGCTTCATTCGGCTTGTTTACCAAAACATCTTCACCTCCATGCAGGCTATGATCCGTGCCACTGAGAACCTCAAGATCCCCTACAAATATGAACAGAACCGGGTCAGTGCTCCTCTGCAAACTCTTAATAATCCCTGTTTTCAGAAAATACATTCATTTTACAAGAAATGGGTCGCTTTCAATTTCAGGAAATGAGAATAGCCTTTTATTATTTTTGTAGTGCAATGATTTGCCAGACTTTTGGTTTTACTAGAAAAAATACATTTCTCTAAAAACAGGTTTCCTCCTTTCAGGATGAGCATAGAAAATGATCATAATGACCTGAAATGCATTTGTTTAGGATACATTCACATTTCTTTAGGTGTCATAAAGGAAGTAAACAATGCAACTAATTAATTTTTAAAACATTAGTAGTCATAGTTTGTAAAACAAAACAAAAATAGTAAAACATCCTAAATGTTCTGTAATAAAGAGGAAGTGTTTCTAAGGAGATTTTTTAAAATCTTCACCAAGTCTTCATCAACCAACCTCGTCAATTGATTAGCCCTTTTTTTCTCTCTCCAATGTACAGTAAACTGGTTCTGGCACTGAAAGTTATGCTAAAATCTGTCTGGCGAAAATATATTTGGAGGACATAGACCTGGTGGGTGGTTAGATGTTTCCTGCTTGTTCTAAGGAGACACTGAGCAAAGCTTTATGCACGGTTCCTACGCACTCTTCAAAAGTGTGGAACAGGATTTTGGCATTTTCCTAGTCTGGATAGCCATAAATCCTAAAATTATGTTGTGATTTCCTGATTCAATTTCTTACCACAGTATTTTTAAGATAAATAATCAAGTTTTGGAAAGATGAATTCAGACAAATGCATTTTTAGAGAGCCATTTCACTGTATTGTTTGGCCCTATTATCCTAAACCCACATTCCTTCTAGTGAGTTAGTTTTTATATCAATAGAATCAATAGGTTCACTTATGTTTTGAAATGTATAAAATCAAGGCAGCACTGATCATAAACTGCATTTCAGACTATCAGATTTCAATAAAAGCATTTTAAATAATCTAAGTTTGTTTAGATGCTACGTGAAGTCTTTCTGTTCTGTCATAAAAACTGATGGAAGAATCTTTTTAAAAATCTGGAGCTAGGAAACGTTTTTTAGTAACCATGTTTGTATTAGCAGGCCTTGAGTTCTAATGAATGAAAGTATCTGCTAGTCGGGCTATGAAACAATATCATGTAAACTCTTGAGAAAAAACAGTGCAACTTAAAATAGTCGTTTTAAAATAAATCTGACTAAATGAAACCTGAACTTAATGGTTTAAAACTGGAAGATCTTTAAATATAATTTAGTTCCTTCTATTTGTCTAGTTTTACTTTCAGTTCCAAAACTCTTGTTTCTAAATTTAGTTTCTTTGTGTCTGACAAACGGATCCTTAAAATAAAGAGGAATCAGAGTTTTTGTGGTGGAAACGATTATCAGGAACAAAGAACCTGAAACTGACATGGAAAGGAATCAATAATTATCAGTATGGATTAATATGAAGGGCTTGTTTTGTGATGCATTTTTCAGCATATCGTAAATCCCTCTACGCCTGGTTATTGATTTACTCAGTTGACCCACTTGGTGACATCTTTTCCTCCTCTTTCCAGGCCAACGCCATGCTCGTGAAGGAAGTGGATATTGAGAAGATCAATGGGTTTGATCAGCACTATGTCGTAGCGATTAAAAGCCTGTGGGCTGATCCAGGGATCCAGGAAGCCTACGACCGTCGCAGAGAGTACCAACTCTCTGATTCCACTAAATAGTACGTCTGCTCATCTTTCACTATGGATTAATATAGAGGGGAATAAATATAATCGTTAGACTGAATAATAATCAATTTTATGTCACCCTCTCTGTTTTTTTTACTGAGGCTGATTAAATTTTTGTCTTCATGCCAGTCAGTCATTTGAGGACGGACGTTGTCAATATTGAACTCTATTTATACACTTGATAATTCTTAGCTTTAGCACGAATCGTCTTTTGCATTGTTTAAATTAGTATTGTTCCTTTTATTTTAACTATTTCCAACATAACTCTCTCCTCAATACGTTAAGGATTCTTCGCTATCCGTTTTGATGCCTTTAGATATTTTGTCCCAACAGGAGTTTCTGCAAGATGACCACAAGTTTCTAGCTGTGCACACTCATAGCATTCATCTTGCTAGAATGTTTTTCCTGTATTTGATTGGTTCATAACACAGCATGTAAATCTTTTCAATGTGCGTCTTTTTAAGAATTTTATGGACAAAAGTGAGGTACATTTGTTCCCTCAGTCCTTTAAAAAAAAAAGAGGCATTTCTGCTTTGAAGGACTGGTGTTTCACCTTCCCTCTGTGCAGCTGTTACCAACGTAAGCAGTTAAAATGTTGGCTCATTAGAAGATTTGATTTGGAATAAAAAGTTTGGCCTCAAAAAATACAAACACAAATCATGAGGGTGTGGCTAAAATTTAGTTTGCATTAGTCTTCTCACAAAATTAGAAATTTCTTAATAAGATGCATGGGATCCAGCGAAGACAACCCCAGTTGATGTCAGCTTGGGATCTTCTTGTTTTTTTGTTTTTTTATTTATCATCTATCATGGAAAAAAGGTAATCCTTGCAAACATGAATCAAATATGGTCAAACCTGGAAGCAGAATATGTTCCAAACAAAATAACTGCTTAAAAGCAAAAGATTGGATTAGTTTGCATAACACAAAATCAGTATAGGTCAACGAGCCAGGGCATAAAACTCTGGCTGTTTCTCAATTCACAAGAAAGTGAGTACAGACTCATGTTCTCGCCAAGTGCGCTCCTGACAAGATTACAGGAAAGTATGGACTTGGGGAGAACGGCAGCACGCAGCATAAATATGGGTCAATTTGTACAGAAGCGTACATGTGACATAGTCTGGAGCTGCATTTCACCTGCTGTTACTAGGTCTCCGGATAATACTTTTTGTAATTAAGTGGGGAAATAATAATTAACAGAGTCAGATAAACACAAATCAAATGAACATTTTGCCAAGTTAAAAAAAAAAAAAAAAAAAATCACCATCAGAGCCAGCAGTACTTGACACACGGCTATGCCAAGGCTGCTGCAGACAGGCTGACGTTAGCCATGGCTGCTGTTTGACTCGGAGGACCACTGGTTGCCGCGGTCCTCTCAACATCGGAAATGTTTTTAAATTATGCACTAGCTCAGTAAATAGACCATATAGTGATGCTTAAAAGTATAATGTTCTCGCCTCAAATGATCTTAAAATGTACTTTTATAGAATGGCAACAGAAAAGAGAACGTTAAACTTAATACTAACTTAATACATGTCTGCTCAGATGCATACTCTGTAAAAAGGGAGGGGTGAGAATATAATCCGGGGACTTTGTCCGTTTTCTGTCTTGTGTTCTTGTGAATTTGAACAGTTCTAGGGCTGAGGCTCATGAGGTTGCACGAGCACACAAGAGTGCACAAGTACACATATTTAGAAACAGCCTCAGATTTAAGCTCATTTTATGTTGTATAACAGAACCACTGCTCCATTTGAAGTTCTGTGTCAGCCAGTTGCTAAAATTGGAGTAAAATATCAATTTGTAAGTTTACTATTGCTGGAGCAACTTTGGGCCCGAGTACCCTGAAAGTCTTGACGACTCTGAAGAAAACTAAAATTTTTCTCTTGGCATAAACTCTGAGGTTTAAGGCTTTTTTAGTCTACTTTTTTACTGTAATCAAATACTGTCAATCAAATCTGTTATCTGATTGATTAATTGTACATTTATACACTTAAGTTTTGTCTGTAATGCAGTATAAACTTACTCTGCTAAGGCTGTAAAGCCATTTTATACTGCCCCCTGTTTTGGGTTTTCTGTATTACAGCTGCTTTCATTTTCATGTGTAAGGTTCCCATGTCTGTTTGCATCTGACATGTTTTCTCTCTCTTACTTGAGAAAGAATGGTTTAGTCATCATATCTGTCTTCATTTCAGCGTTATCCACACTGTGTATGTATATCTCCAGTTATCTAAGTGATATAGACCGTGTGACTGCGGAGGGATATGTTCCCACCCAGCAGGATGTGCTGAGGGTCCGTGTTCCCACCACGGGTATAATAGAATACCCTTTTGACCTGGAGAACGTCATCTTCAGGTATCCTCAAAGCACCAGGACTGCAGCATCCATGGTTTGAAGACATAAACCACTGATGGGAATTGGAATAGAGATGAACTAGCTAAAAAAGTAGAGTTTTACCCTTGTAATTATAAACGAGCAAATATGTTTGTAGAGATGCACAGAGCCAACTTTTTGAGGATATTTGCAAAGTTCTGACCTGCTATTGTTGAGTTAACAGTTCAATTCAGTTTATTTATATAGCTCCAATTCACAGCACATGTCCTCTCAAGCCACTTTACAGAGACAATTCAACCAGATTATACCAACTCCCTTTTAACAGGAAGAAACCTGCTGCAGACACAGCCTCAGCCATCTGCAGCTACTCAATTACGAAGTCTGTAAACTTCAATAGAAACTGATTTAATAAAAATAATATGTTGGAAAATCATTCTTGCTTCCCTGCCATGAGAACATCATTAATTATTTCTGCTGGGAGCAGAAACATCACTCTGTATATAGAGAAGTGCCTGGTATAAACAGTCTGATGATTAGAATCGACAAGTTAAAACTGATTTGAGTGTTTTTTATTGGCAGATTGCGCACCTACTGAAATTACAAAAGCATTTAAGTACATTAGATGCTTAACTCAGCCAAGTGATTCAAAATTAATGACGGATGGTTTATCAGCCAAAAGGAGCAACGGTTTGGCCTTCCTTCACTGCAAAAAATGTAAATCTATGCAAGTACATTTTTCTTAAAATAAGTGCATTTTAGCTTGAGTTAGGCAGGTAATTGAGACACTTTGCAAATGGGACAAGACAGTTTACATTTAGAATAAGAAAAAAACAACTGCAGTCTCTTATTTAAAGTGCATAGTATCTAATTATCTTCTTTTAAGGGTAAAAAAAGCTTCTATTGGCAGATCGTCTTATTTATCTGCTCAAATTCAGCCTAAATTAATTTAATTTAAGACATTTTTGTAATTTTTAGATCAGATTTTATATTTTAGATTGTTTTTGCTGTTGTCTGCTGAATTATTTGTGTTCCTCGGTAAAGCAGTTAGCTAAGAGATCACCTAAAACTCTTTAGGAATCCTAAATAATGATAATAAATCATCCCTTAGGGAAATTTGGTTTGGTCACAGCCCGTCCACACTGAGGGATGCGGTTTCCATGGCTTTGCTGCCATGAAAGGCGGTCCCCATATCATCACCTAGTTTCTTCTGCTTTAAAAATGCTCCGTTTTAAAAATCTGAGCTGATTTCTTCTTTTCTCTCCTTTCTGACAGCTGCGGTAGGGAACACATGCTAGAAGACAGGAAATGGAGATCTTACAAAGCTAGCTTTGGGTCTCCTTTATTAAATAAAAGCATCTACACTGAGCAGTGTAGAGTCTGATAGGGCTTAGTGTGGTGGGCTCGCCTAAAAAAAAATAAAAAGATTTTTTAAAATCAGATTTTAGTAGCCAGGGACCAATATGGTCTAATCAAACGCAAAACTGTCGGGTTTCCTCAGTGCATCTCTACACGTGACTGTTTTTTCCTGTTGGACCTGGCCAACAAATTTTAAATCTGTAACATTACTCCAAAAATTATACATCTGAATGGGCCAAGTTGTCTTATGGATGTAAAACTGCAAAGGATCCAGTTAATCTGGTTAAAAATCAGTGGTCTGTGTTTAGAATGGTGTGGGCCTGAGGCCAGAGCTGCTACACTGAAGCGTGTGGAGAGCAGCCACAAAATACCAGATAAAGACGGATTGGGCAGAGATATCGAGGATTTCACAGGAAATTATGATGAACATTGGGGGAGGGGGTAAAACGACACAAATTGTAAGATCATCAGAATGACTAGTTTCCTGTCTTTTTTTCAAAATAAATATTAAGTTTCCTGTCGTCCTTGATTTGTCCCATCCTTCTTTATGTGGTTCAGATGTTGCTGCTCCTGCTGTTGAGGCTACTGCTGCGGTCCCTGACACCTCCTCACTGTCTGAGCTATAACCCATCAGTGACCTGACTCCAGATTGGTTTTCGTTTTAAAACAAAGTCGCTGATAATGAAATTTAAACTGGTTTCTGGAAATGGGCCTGATGGAGCAGTGGCTAAGACTTAACACCCTCCTGTTTCTGTGATGCAATCTTTTTTTTTTGTCTGTTTTGTTTTCATGTAAAGCTTTTTCTACAGGACTGATCAGCACTTTCCTGGAACTGTAGCGGTTTGCGATAATTGCCTGTCACGCTTTATGTAACTGTTTTCCTGTCTGTCTTTTTTTTTTTTCTATCAATTTCCCGATTGGCCATCTTGTAGTTATCTTACGGATCTGGATCGTATTGCCGATCCCAGCTATCTTCCCACTCAGCAGGATGTACTCAGGGTGCGCATCCCTACTACAGGAATCATAGAGTACCCCTTCGACTTGCAAAGCATCATTTTCAGGTAGAAAAATGCCCAACCGGGCTTCAACCCTCAGTGTTTTTCATCATATAATCAACTCATTTGATTTCTTTTTTTCCATGGGAGGGGGGGCGCTTTAAAAGCATCTCATTCATCTGCATTAACCACAAAAAAAACTTTGTCTATGTCCCATTTCTTTTCCATGCTCTTCTAAATGCTTCCATGCAATCATAAAAAAAGCTAATTTAGTCTCACCTGCTGCCACAGAAGTATCACACAGAACACAACAGCAAATGAACACTAAGCCCTACATTTTGGCGCCCGGTCCTTCTAAATGGGTCGCCTCCTTTTTTTTTTTTTTTTTCTTCTCCTTTCCTCCCCGGCCGTCAGAAGAAACGAGGTCGTCCTCTCTGCTGTGCAGAAATGTTATTTTGGGCAGCAGGTCCTGCAGGGCCTATATTGGCCCTGGGTCTCAGTGGACCACAGTGGACTGGGCCACCACCAGAGGGCGCAGATGCACCTGTGCATCAAGAGAGGAGGATTTACTAAGGGAAACATTTAACATGAGATGTAGGATTTTTCTGCTTTAACCAGGAACAAATGATGCCTAAATAAGACTAGGACCTGAGGTTCCACATGAGTACTTTATCATGTTGTTGAGGAGAGGCATTGGATAACTTAAGACAAAAAACTCCTCCAGGAACTCATATTTTCTGTGTGTCAGTAATCAGCAGCTTGCTTACTGCATGTTCCCTGATATAAACTTTATGAACTCATCTGGCCCCAGCTCTTGCATTTGCCCCTCTATTAACCCTTCCTGTCCTCTGTCTGTCCTCCCTCCTTCCTATGTCCCATCTTTCCTCATCTTTCATTTCAATGCATGTTCCGAATCTTCACGATTGTTGTGAAATCTGACAAACCTGCACTGTATAGAAACAGATCCACTTCAATGATGTCATTTTATAAGAGCTCATTCACACACATGCAGATTTCATACAAAGCATGAGATAAAACTGATGTGTGCAGATATAAAGAAAAGTTATAAATACTATGGGAGAGTTGATATGCAAAGTTCAGAGTATTTGCCCCCTTTTTTTTTTTTTGCTTGTCTTGGATCATAAAATTAATTTTGGATTAAATGATAAACTTGGAGGATAGAAGCGGAAAAACATTTAATTCATAACCGAACAAAAATGATCCACTGAGCCCGAAAATAAAATGCCTTCCTTGTCAAATCTTTAATTAACTGTTTGACAAAATATTTTTTTTCGACAGGGTAGTTTAACTTCAAACTGTTTAATGCAACTTTAATATTCAAACTATTGAATGACACAGGATGAGGCTTTATTTTAAAGAGTCCCACCATTCCTACAGCACAATGGGACAAGATTTACCTTTTATAAGAGAGGCTACTTTACTGCAGTAACCTAAGAAACACATGGTAACTGCAGCCTGTCATAATTTAAAACAAGCTAAACCTAATTTTGGGGGGAGATGGCAGACAAAAGTTGCAAAACATGTTAAATAGGCCATAATGCAAAAAACTTAGATTGGTAACTGCTATGGGTAGCATAATTTTTTTTGTTAAAGCTTAATTTTGCCGCAGATTTTCAATTTCCAGACAGTGCAATGATATCTGCACACATTTTTACTCATGAAGTAGTTGAAGTTATTTTTCAAACCAAATTAGACCAATTTTGTTAAGGTTTTGAATCCATCAGGTGCATTTGTGTACTTCTATGTGGTCAAACTGTACCGGATTAAATCATAGGACAGTTGTAATTGCTTTCATGGAGGAGAGGCTTGCTTTTTATTTACTCCAGACTTCAATCATTGGTGTTAAGATAAGTGCATATCTTTGATAGCACTTAATGCATCCTGATGGATTAAAAACAAATAAACAACAAAAAAACCTGAACACATTAATGCTGATTTGAACACTAAGCCAAAAACTAATACTATTAGACTTTGACAGAGCCAGTCAGGCTCATATTGATATACATTTTTCTAACTTGTTCTCCCACCTCGTCATCTTGCTGTCAGGATGGTGGATGTCGGGGGTCAGAGGTCAGAGCGGAGGAAGTGGATTCACTGCTTTGAGAATGTCACCTCCATTATGTTTCTTGTGGCTCTGAGTGAGTACGACCAGGTCCTGGTGGAGTCTGACAATGAGGTGAGTGAGTAACTATAAACTATTAACTTTGTTAGCATATCTGAGCTTCAGAGAGGAGTTAACTCTGAATAATTGCTTTTTTTGTGTGTGAATTGTTTGGTCTTATAAATGTATTTTGAACCGTGAAAATGTAGATTGTTGTAAATTTCCTTTTCCCTTTTATATCAGAACCGCATGGAAGAGAGTAAGGCTCTGTTCAGGACAATCATCACCTACCCCTGGTTCCAAAACTCTTCAGTCATCCTCTTCCTTAACAAGAAGGATCTACTAGAGGAGAAGATTGCTTATTCGCACTTGGTTGACTACTTCCCTGAATTTGACGGTGAGTTAATAGTTTAGATGCCCCGACGCCGTTAGTTTTTTTTCCAAAGAAGTTGCATTTCTCTCATGTCTAATGTAATTTCCTGTATCATTTCCAGCCTCGGCTCATAAAAATATACTCTTGAACTATCCACGCACCTATCCAAAAAAAATTTGTTCACTTCCGATTCAGTTCTTTATAGTTGTATATCTGCAGGTTTCAATATTTTTCTGATACCGTTATCAACTTAAATCCTGATTTTTAGGAGGCTGGCCTAAAGTCATCTCTGCAAGCAAAAGATATATGTATCAATGTACACAAGGTGACTTCAGATTAGTATAGGATCAAATAAAAACAATAAATTGTGTCTTGAAAGCAAATATTTATTGAATTAAAATTATAGAAATACATAGACATCTGCCCCTATGGATCGAGACCATTTTCAGATTGCTTTTAAAGGATACCTTAGCTAAGGAATTGTGACAAACTCATACTAAGGCTCCAAAACTTGTTGTTAAATGTTGATTTTAGGACATAGCATATCCACAGAATCCATTCCCACAGATACTGCAGCTTTTTTAAGCATCTGTTCGATTGAGGACCTTTGGTTGGGTATACAAGCTTCAGGGTTTGTTGCACTTGTGCCAAATACATTTTCGATATTTCACTGGGGTGATTTATTGAAACATGCACGTTTCACAGCAGGGATGGCTTGTTTCAGCAAAGCAGCTGTTCCACCTGCTATTAGCTCTGTCACTACCCGGAAGCATGATCCGTACCATCAGCTCATTTGTACGTGCACATCCAGATATACATCTGGATTGCCCTCGATTTTAGTTTGTAATAAAGACCTAAATTACTTTTATTCCTCCCCAAATAATAAGCCTACTTAACTGTAATGTGTTAAGGGTTAATAATGTATTCCTGAGATAATAAATGCCTTAAAATCCTTTCTGGATCCTGTCTGAAATGGGATCCTACGCTAATTCCGGGAGCTAACTTTTTCAGCTTTGGATTTAAACATAAATCTAGTCTTTTTCAGTTTTATGTTTCCCTTTTGTGTTAACATTATGGTATATAGTGCATCATCTAGAAAAAGAAACAACAAAAATTCAGATTAACATGGTTTATCATATTTTGCCAGACTACTCTGAGCATGTCCGATGTTGACGTCAGACAAACAGTTGAACTGAGAAAATGTAAAAAGCGTCAAAACTTTCTCAGAAAAGTCATAAAATAGTTTTTAGAGCTCTGTTTTAGAATTCTTTAGTGAGTTAAGGATCGAAATAAGTAATTTTAGTATCATAATTACATTATTTATTGACACCCAGTGGTATATCTGGTTGCGCATGAGCAAATGAGCTGACGGTACGGATCGTGCTTCCAGGACGGATCGGGTAGCGACTCCACTATTTGACTTTTGATCAATTGTAAATGGAAAATCTTCTGATTTACTTCTTCCCAAATCCTTTTATAAAGGGACTTTAAGCCGGGCTTACACTGTGCGATTTTATTTGTTGTTTGCCCTTTTCGGGGTGACTTTCCAGTCGTGTAAGACTTTTTCCAATTTTTCGTACGTCGTGTAGTGTACAAGGGGCAACGAGGGGCGATCAGCCTCTCACGACCGACTCCCAATCAGGAATCGTGAGGTTGGGAGAAGATCAAACATGTTTGATCCTCTGCTATTTGGTGTGTGCTTTAGCTGCATGCATCGACTGAAAAGATTCCACAGTGTATGCCCGGCTTTAATAGAGTAAATGAATACTGATGATGATCAATGGTTGAATACAGCGGCTATGCTGCTACAATATAATACAAGCTGGTCTGTTGTATCAATTTGATCAAAATGCTCTGAGGTTTGGGATTTTGATAATATATGCTTATAGGTGAATTATATTAGGCTTTGTGCATCTGTCTTGAGGTTATTGCTATAGAATGGTCCGAGCACAGTTAAAACTACATCCACTGGCAAAAATGATGGAATCACCGGCCTCAGAGGATGTACATTCAGTTATTATAGTTAGTAGAAAAATAGCTGATCGCATTTCAACACATTTGCAACATTGCATGGTGATCTAACCTCTTTTAAGAGTTCCATAATCTTCTCCTTTGTTTCAATTGACATCATGTTGCAGCCATGATTCATGTCCGTCCACTTGGTGCAGCAGCTCTCTAAGGTTTAAGCTTTTTAGATGCAGACTAACGTGCAGGTCTAATTTGATGCAGGTGTTAGTTTTGGGGATGGAAATTTACAGGGTGATTCCATAATTTTTTTTCCCTCTGCTTGGTCTAAAATGGTAAAGGTTACTGATTACCACATTTTTCTTCTTGATTTCTTTTAGTGTTTCTTAAAGCCAGAGAGTTACCAATGAAATTACCTTAGTTTTGTGTCATGTGTGGGATCTGATTTTTTTCCCTACAAAATTAAACATCTGAGGCCGGTGATTCTGTAATTTTTGCCAGGAGTTTTACTGTTCACCCAGAGGTGGCTACTTTCTCGGCATAGGCAAAGAAGGTGTAATTTACCACGAAAAAACCGAGTAGGTAAAATTAAGGGCAGTCCAACAAAAGACAAGAATAAGAAATGAAAATTTATGTATCAACAAAATCAGTTCTTAAAACAGTCATAACAAGGTATTTTACATATTCAATCCTTCCAAACGTCTTTAAATTAATTTCTAATTATTTTTAGAGGAAAATAATAGAAGTCGTTTACGATCCTGTTACCTCAATTTACTGATGTAAATCCAGTTCAGGTAGGGGAACTAAAATCACTGTTTGTGGAGAGCGCACCCTTGTGGGCTTCTCTGGTTTGAACAATGAACAATCTGCAAAAAAAAAAAAAAAAAACACTTTCACGCTCTTTATTTTTCAGTTTTAACTGACTCCCAACTCCAACAAACACAATTTAACAACAACTTTTTGGTTGTAAAGTCTGCCTTGTCATATAGTTTTTTTTTTTGGGTTTTTTTTTTTGTTATTTACAAAACAGATGGTGCACTGCTGACATATAACCCTAGTCTTTCAAAGCAACACCTTTCAATTTGTGTTTTAAATATTGTAAGTCAACCATATTTCTTCATAAAGCTTTCTTTAAATAAAAGAAGTATGCATCTATGATGGTGTGGGACCAGTCTAGACGTGTTATTCCCCAGTTTGGCTGGTGTCCTCCTTTTTTTGCTGGCCACTAGCTGGCTCTGGAAGCCTCCCATACCAAAACGGTATGTAGCTCTAGGTGCTGCAGCCTTAACATTGATGCTCATACTCTGTCAAAGTTTACTTGGATTTTAAGATGATGTGTAGAAAAGAGATATATTCATTCAAATCTGTCTCTCCTTCTCCAGGTCCCCAGAGAGATGCTCAGGCAGCGCGAGAATTCATCCTCAAAATGTTTGTGGACTTGAACCCAGACAGCGACAAGATCATCTACTCCCACTTCACCTGTGCCACGGACACTGAGAATATCCGCTTTGTGTTTGCGGCCGTCAAAGACACCATCCTACAGCTCAACCTGAAAGAGTATAACCTTGTGTGAAAGAGGGATGCGACTGTGCTTACAACCCTGCCCCCACCCCCCCATCCATTGCACAAACACGCCCCACTTTCAGGGATGTCCCGTCAACGTAACACGCATCGCACAGCGCAGCACTCTAGCTCTCACACACTCGAGCAGAACTGTTGCTTTTAAATCTTTCTTTCCAGTGCAGTGAGTTTCCAGGTCCTCCCACCGTCAGTCATACCCCTGCTTTCACCAAAGCCGCTCCCTCCTTTTCTCGGCAGCTTGTTGCATCAGTCTTCGACCTTTTAAAAAGCTGCTCCGTGTGTCAAGCTGCACACAGTTTTTCTTTGTTTTTTTAAGACGGCTAAACTGCGACCGGAAGGGATTTTCATCGGCATTTGTATATCTACGTGCACTCAACGCAGTTTTTATCGGCAATGAATTTTGGTCTAAACCGAAGATTAATCTTAAACCCCCTCCCGCCGCCTGCAGAGTTGGCCCCTCCCTCCTTTTCCGGCAATGTGGAAGAAACTAACTCATTCATCTGGTGACATCTTCTATAAACAAACACAGAAAAGATGCTCCAGAGCGACGGAATCAGGATGCGAGGTCACACACCTGAACAAGGGGCGGACACCATCAACTTGCATCTATGAATGTACCCCCAGGTGTGAGCTTCACAACTGCAAAAAAAAAAAAATCAGAAAAAAAGACGTATATTATAAATTTGCAACATATTTATGGGGTTTCAACAACAAGCAAGGGGGTCCGGGAAAATCTGTTTCTGAGATTTTTTTTTTTTAACAGATTTTTACAGATTTGGAACAAAATATATATTGCAACACTAAAATTACTGAATCATTAAAGCTGAAAATTTATAAAAAATTAGCAAAATTTAAACAAAATGACAAAAAAAAGCTAATGTAAATTTATTTGAAATTTAAGTATCCTTGGGATAAAGTTTTTTTTGTTTTTTTTAGTTAAAGTTAATCACACGCTTCCCTCCTCCAAAAATGTATTCTGTATGAATTTACAGGGACAACCTTCCACATGACGCAGCACTCCGAACATCTGTCGCCACTGACGCAGATGATGTGAAACTGCTCTCTAAGTACATGACACTAGAAAGCAGCAGGGTAAAGGACCCCACGTTGGAAAGTTTGCACACTCATTTGTGGAGCTCGGCTTCGAGCAGCTAAATCGGCGACATAAAGGCTGGAAACTCTACATGTCCGACGACATCACGCTTCCCGACGTGACGCAGTCATCGACATCAGGATGTGCTTCTTACGTTTCCTTTTTTTGACGTTGGGTTTTGTTGAGCGATGTACAAAGGGGAAAGGGAGGAGGATGCGCCTTTCACAGAAAATACTCTAAAAGTCTGCAAATGTTTTTTGTGTATACCTGTAAATACATATACACAAAACTCTCTGTATAAAACAAGTGCTCTGTGGTACACCTTTGGTTTTTGAAAAGAAAAAAAGGAGAAAAAAAGACTTTCTTTAGCATACAGTTTTCTTCTATGAATTTATGGTAGTATTGAAACTGTGATTATGAATTTTGTTCACTAGATTAATAGGATTTCAAAGAGCCGCACGATGTCGAGGAAACGAAGCAGGTGGTCGGGGAAAAAGGCTAGCCTCTGAACGCCACACTACTGCAACAGCTCTGTTCAGAATAAAGCTAACTAGAGCTGGTTCAACAACAACAAAATCTTGACGGTCTAGGTGAAAGGATGATTTTGAGATTAATTAAAGATTTTTTTTTTTATTTATATAATTTATGGACCAGGATGAAGGTGTTGATAATTTGACTGCTTGTGTTTCTGTCATGTTGAAGGGCTCCTTTCTCTCATGGCAGAGCCTACTTGAGTCTGAACTGCTGTTAAGAAAAA